CACAAACGGGGAACGGTTCATCGTTCGCGAGATACTTATTCGACGCGCTACGGGAATATTTGAAAAACTGTGTCACCGGATACATTGTGATATCGCGGCCCGGCTAGCTGATTATCCGAATATCCCTTACACGAAACGTCGATTATTCCATTACCACTTATCCGGGCTATCGATCGACCGGCGAACAGGATACGAAGACATATAGGGCACTGCGTGTACGTACGCGTCTGTCGCGTTTACACACCTGTAACCGGTGGCGCGTATAATACTCGGTATAATGAGATATCCACCTGAAATCCCGGTCGTAGCATAAATCAAGCCGAACGTTATTACGCGTTCGCACGATAACGACCTTGTACAACCCTTAATGCACCGTCGCCTCATCTGCGTCGCTTTTCGTTAAATCCGAGACCCGGTGCTCCTTTTGCTGGATTTACTTGATACGAGATATCCCGTGCTTTCCCCTATCGCGCTCTTTTGTTTCGCGTTTTATTAATTTATCGATAGGCAGCCATTCTGTTTTTTTTCTTTATTGAGAATCGAAGCCTAATGGGCAGAATCGATAGACTGCAATTTAATACGTCGCTTATAAGAGTTGTCTATGTAAGTATATAGGTACTGCAAGTACTAATCTTTTACTAGCCAGGAATGCGTTATAATATACAATTCTTATGTCGTGCCAATTTTTTTTTTTTCTCCAACGTGTAATATTACTAGTTGCCAACTTTATGTTCGGTTAATTTATAATGCGAAGTCCTAAGTACTGGTTACGTCTAAATAAAAATATATTCTACTACTATACTTTAAGAATGATAGCTATCGTTCATTGCACACGATGTCTCAGTAATCGACAGATTAAATGGAGATTCGCCTTTCCTGTTTCCTTAATTCTATCCGTTGAACACACAACATCAAGGAAATGACTGTTTAAACGACATTTGGATAAACTGGATGTATGGACGTACCACAGGATGACGTAAACGGAATCGATCGCGCGAATGAGACTGCACTTTCAGCTAATAATCTCTCCGTTTCGAATTGCTTTCGGGCTAGCTAAGTTTGATTTCTAAACGGGATTCGGATAAGACAAGCGGTTCATCGGATCATACGCGATACCGATCAAATAGAGAATAATCCTCCTCGATTTCAAGTCGGAAGTCGTGGTCTCCGTTTAATGAGAACAGAAAGCGGCTTTGATCAACGAGAAGACGGAGCACGATTATTGATCCGGGTATATCTCGCGGCAATCGCATAATTAAACACGGTTAAATAATCAAGATTTAAGCAGGTCGAAAGGTGAACATCTCGCGATCAGAGATGAGATTGCAAGAATATTGCAGGTACAATAATATTTTTATTTAACACTTCGACCGCCATGTCACCCAAATTCAGGTGTCGCCTAAAGTTCTCAATGGACCGTCAATCACCCCGTCATATTGGCTATTATTTGACTGTGGTATTTCGAAAGATAGTCAATAGAATATAAAATAAACTGTTTAATTGAAATTAGTATTTTGTTTGACAGTCAAAGTTTTAAGGTCGATGTATTAATCATTATGTCTAACAATAATGAAATTTGTACTATTACTATTTTTAATAATATGACGTTCTATAATTCTCTTTAGAAATATGAAAATATTTTTTAAGTAATATAAGAAACTAACAAAATCAAATAATTTCTATTCTATTATAAAAGGCTATGAAATAACAGTTCCAAGATAAGCAATATCCATCAAAAGGGATTCATTGAAAGAAACGAGAAACTGGCACGGGTTTCGTCACTCGATTACGAGACGGATTCATTGAGTAACGCGTCGAAAAAAGAATTTCTCTAACGAATTTCGGCCCGATCGCCTTTCTCTCACGGCTTCGATTTCGGGTCAGGACGCCGACGAAATAAACGGCTTGGCGATCTCGTGATGCTGTTTCGTTTGGTCCCGTGGCGCGTACACGCGAATCACGGGGTACGTACACTCCGCGGCCCGGTGGTACAGAAAACGTTCCAACTGCCGATCGCGTGCACCGCGAAAATTAATCATCGCAACCAGCGAGCGGCGGGAATAATATTTTCGAGCCGGGAACACATCCCCATATACGCAGACGTTTTATTTTCGTCGGCCGGGGAAATGTATCGAGTCAGCACGTTGTCGAACGAAACTTAGCTCGTCTGACGATTCCTCGTTTGTACGCTCGACTCGTTTTCGTTGTTTTCTGCGTTCATCTTTATCCCTCTTATTCATCGTTATGCAAAATAAATTATATAGATACGCACGACTTTCTTCAGTCTAGTTATTAGAAACTATTTAAACGCAAATAGAAAAAAGATTTATGCGTTGTTGACATTCAATAAAACGATTGTACATATTTATCATGAGAAAGCAATCTATAATTTTTTGTCCGCTGTACGTGTTCAATTAATATCAAATAACGTTATTAGCAAACACGTCAGCATCGGTGGAAAAACATTGTCAGCAGTTAGGATCACATTGATAAACTAACTGACTGTTCACGACAATCAACCAGCGCCGATAAGGATCAACGTGTAGGAATTGAACGCGGTTCAACTTCTAAATAACACGCAGGTTGTATTTAATTAACGGTGTCTGTCTCGTTTAGCCAAATGGCGATATTAATCTTTGCCGGGAAAGTTAAGGATTATACGGCTCCGCAGTTGTATAAAATATGAACGGTATAAAGGAACAAGAAGCGATAAATATTCCCGTTTAAAGCCTATAACCAATCATTCCCGTGATTGAATAGCGTACCGACAATTTAACTCGCCGAGCGATTGAAATTTTAACACTGAGATTTAACGGTAAAAAGAAAGACCACAGAGATTAAGAGATCTCAGTGGCGTTCAATTAATAACCGATAATAAATATAATATGTTCGTGAAGAAATATGTAAGTTGATAAACTGGAGACGATGTAAAAACAATTAACGTGTATATATATTTTCATCGTAGGAGTGCAGCAACATACAGATTCAGTTTTGTCGTTTCGATGTACAGATACAATAAGGATTATCAACCCGCGTAATAGCGAGTAGAAACGGGTACAATGAGAACGTGACGAAATCCGTTTCTTTCTTATCGAAAGCCCTTTTCACCAAAAGAAGGCCGTAGACACTTGCAATAGTTAAAACGTTTTTGTCGTCATTTTCTTTTTCCCCTTTTCTAATAGCGTCGTGCAAAAATTGTTCGTAGATTGTTTTCGCTTATTGTCGCGGAACCCAGCGAATGTTGTTTGAATTTTATTCGAATTAGTACAAATTGCGATCGAAAATTGACTAATTGCTATGTACATCTAATTTCATTTAATTCGGATCAAGAGATTGAGCGGTTCTCCTTTTAACGCTTTGGACGATCGTTGTACACAACAATGGTTGTACACAGATAATATTATTTATTATTAAGTACACATTTTCACGCGGAAGAGCGTGGAGATTCGCGTCTCATCGGTGGAATCTCGCCCGGATATGAAAAAATATTGTTCGATCTTTCCACGTGCGTTCAGCCTTAAAATGATATGTACTCTATACGACCCGTCGACGCTCGACGGTCGTACACACAAGCCACTCGATCTACCTCGAAACGCTACATTCGACGAAGGCACGGCACCGTTTCACGACAGTCTTCGGATCGAGTGAACCCGAGGATGAAAACAAAAGTGAAATCATATCTCAACGAGTAAAAAGAAGTATAGTAAAACTAGAATGAAACGTTGGGAATGGTTGTTGAACGGTAAATGAATGAAAAAACGCGTGCGAGGCGGGTTTCGTTGAAAAATTATATTTTTTCCATTCTGGCACGATCTGTAAACACAACATAATTTATAAATTAACATACACAATCGTCTCGTCGTCGTTAATAATTTACAAAAAAAAAGACCCTCGTGAGCGTTCATTTTTTTTTCTCCTTTTCGTTTTATCCGCTCGCCCATCATTGTACAAAACGTAAATTAAAATGTCGCAGGACCGCGAGAACGCTAGCTTTCATCGTCGACGGTCTCTTCTATAAACGAGAAGGACACGGCGCGGGATAGTGGAGAAGAAGCTCGGAGAGTTCGCCGCGATCGGCGAGGACTGAAAACGAAACGAGTTTGTACAAATGCGATTGGAACCGAGCGTTCTTCTTCACCCCGCGGACGATGAAATATGTAATCCTTTACGAAACGAGGAGCAAGGAGAAAATGGGAGGGAGGGAGAATGTGAGAACAGAACGGAAAATAGGAAGCTTGACTTGCGAAGTAGGATAAAATAAATAATAGAAGCATTAAACATGAATTAATCACTTAACAACGTAACTAAACATAATAATTAATAATAATAATAATTAATAATAAT